AGGGGACGCCAGAAGGTCACAGCCATGTGGTCCCTGCCCCCCTGAGGCACTGGGATGAGTGCCTGGCCAGGAGCAGCTGGGGACCCTCCCTCCTGCGAAATGTCGCATGCATTTCAAGGACTCTATGTCCCTCTGGAATAATTAATATACTGAAGCATCATGAAAAAGTCTGTGAACTTTGATAGAGTTAGGAACACACTCATTTGGATTTTTTTCTTAGTTAAAAAAATAAAGCCTATTGGCAACCTATAATCTGGCGCTGTGTGAGGACGAAGCGCTCCCAGAGGCTGTTTCTGACGACAACGATTTCAAGCTTTTCTAATTATTCTGCTGCTAACGTTTATCTTTACATTTTCCCCTGGTATGAAGAGATTCTGTTTATAAAGCATTGTACGGCAAAACGGTCTTACATTTAGACTGAGTTCTCCTTGGTAACCGAGGCAGTTATTACACAGTGATACTAAGCTTTCATCTATATGAATTCTGTATCATTAGCCAAAAATTAGCCTGCACGGCTTGATATAAAATCTCTTTTCCACCTCCCTGATGAAGGCATGTTTTTATTTGGAAAGCCTAACAGAGACACAAAAACAAAACCACATGCAGTTTTGTGCATCACAAACCCTCTGCTGAAAGGAATAAAACCGAGAGCACCCCTGGCGCTATGGGTTGAAGGCTACAGGCATCAGGAGCGCAGACGGCGATGTGACGTTTTAAGCAAACAAATAATTTTTGGGGGCTATCAATCAAGCAAAAATCTGAGTATTTATTATTCTAATTGGATGAGTTAATCTTCTGTGGTTTCAGAATCCCAGTGTTTCAGTGCGATATGTTGTCAAGCTGAGATCTGCCCGCCAACATCATTTTCTTCCACAGCCACCTTGGCACTGGCCGGGTGTCTGGCTGTGTGTCTGGGGCAGGAGGTGGTGCCACAGAGGAAGTCCTTGCCCTGGGGAGCTGATATTCTGGTGGAGGAGAAAGCTGACGAACAAAAAAGCAAATTGCAAGAAGATACTTCTCAGGGAGGATATAGCTCAGTGGTAGAGCATGTGCTTAGCATGCACTAGGTCCTGGGTCCAATCCTCAGTACCTCCATTAAAAAAAAAAGAGTAAAAATAAATTAAATCAATATATCGATCCCCCCGGCCCTGCCAAACAAACAAAAAAGATACTTCTGAAAGTGGTAAGTGCTCTGAGGGGACGTGCTGGCATTTGGGATAGGAGCACCCTCCTGTGGGGGATTCTCACTCACTCAGGTCGCACTCACTGTGGGCAGCTCCCAGCCAGTGACTGAGCACCTGGGGTCTGACCGAGGCCAGGTCCTGAGGCTGTGGGACCCTCTCCAACAGAGCCATTGGCCCTTAAACCTCCTGCCTGCCTGGTCTTCCTCTCCTGTCACAGGTGTCAGACCAGCATCCCAGCCTGTGGGCTGACCTCGCCTCCTGCTGCCTCTCCCTCTGTCCTCCTGTGGCGTCCCCTGTGACTCCTGCGCATCTGATCTCTTCTTGGCCTCGGCTTCTTGAAAGGACTGAACCAATGATCCTATAAGAACAACTATGAGTATTTAAAAAGTATGTTGTGGCAGAAACATAAAAACAACCCTGGGTCGGGAAGCATCTGAGCTGTGTCTGACTTTACTGACAGGCAGTGAGCCCCGAGGGCTTTCTCCTCACCTTCCTGAGGATTCCTATCATTTAATTAAGAAAGCAGTTGCTGTTCAAAATCATCTTGAGAGGAACAGAAAGGATAAAGAGACTAAATCTTACCATCTGATTGTGACTGGGAGCCAGAGTCACCCGTTGGCTCGATGTAAGACCAAACAAGCCCTCCCCTCAGTTGGAAACAGACGTCCTCTGTAGCCTCTGCCCTGGTTGCATGTATTTGTCTGAACACTCAAGCAATAAAATCATTGTTTAACTAGGAAAAAAAGTCTTTTTAAAAGACATGAATATAGTTTTCTATTTTTAAAAGCTTAAGTTGGCTATAGTGTTACAAATGTACTTCAAGGGAGCAAGAGGGAAAACGTTTATGATACTATGCAGGAATCCAAATGAGATGGGTGCATCTTGGGCTAGGATAATGAGACACGAGCTGGAAAAAGTGGACAGATTCTAGGGGTGTTAGAAGATGGAATTCAGAGGGCTTGGTGGTGTGTGGTGAAGAGGAGGGAGTGAGGTGGTTCAGTGCTGCTCGCTCTTACTGTCAAACTGACATCCTAACAGAAGTAAGTTCTTTCCCTCCCTCCCTCTTATCCTTCCTCCCTCTCTCTTTCTCTCTCCCCCTCCCTCTCTCTCTGTCCCAGCGGAGAACAGGGTCCTGACTAAGCTCCCCTCAGCCTCCCTATGATTCATTTGCTCTCTCTGTAGGATCACCAGGCTCACTGCCCGTCCTCCCACCCCCGCACCCCCCCAATACCTTTGTTCCATTTCAGCTGCCTTTGCAACATTGTAACAGCCAAGCCCAGAGGAACACGTGGAAATCTTAGCTGGAGAATCAGAACTGGGTGTTGCTCAATATGTGGAAAAAATGTGGTGTGTTTCCGCTCCAAGGAACTCAATCCACATGGCAGTCCGTCTGTCAGCAGCACTGAGGCCCTGGAGAAGGGCAGGTGCTGGAAGGCCCGGCCGGGATCTGCCCACCCGGCCCCCGACCCATTTCCAGCTGTGGGGGCCACCTCACACAGACATCACACTCCCCCTGCTTCTGAGCCTTCAGCTGTGTGGGCCCCCTGCCCCGTCCTTTGCCGGGCCAGGCAGGGTTGGGGTGGAGATGGTCCAGGGCCACATGGGAAGGGCCAGGCAGGGAGCTGCCAGCAGTCTGGGGGCACCCAGGGCAAACCCCACCCACTCCCCACCGAGCCACACCTGGGGCATCTGGGGCCCACCCTCTCACGAGCTCGTTACTCCTGTCCCATCACCACTCTTTCCCTCCGGCTGCGGTGGCAAGTCCTGGGAGGGGACCCTGATGGAGTTGCCCTCCCGCCTGCCGCCGAGCGACTCGACTCTGAGGGTCTGCACGTTGTAGCCACTCCCGGTTACACCAAGGCCCCAAGCTGAAGCGCCTTATCCTGGGGGCTGTTGTGCCCAGGGCAGGGGGCTCAGACGTCCTCTCCCGCTCGGGGTCCACAGCCCCTCCCCCAAAACAGCACCGACTTTTCTCTGAGAAAGAAGGCAAGCCCTGATAGCAGGGGCTGGTGTGTGAGCTGAAGGGACAGCGGGAGAGTGAAGCACCCGACGGCCCAGAAGCAAGCCGGGCGTGGCTTTAGGAATCACTTTCATCTTGAACATATTCTTTATGGATCCGATGGTGCTGCTCGAGTGTTCACTTAAGTCTCATTTCCTGCGATGGAAGGAATCGTATCCTGCACAATTATGCCTATAATTAAATGCAAATTCTGGAATGTAGAACAGTGTCAGGATGACGCCCCTTCAACACTGGCATAAAAATCTAATGTATTGAACTTTTTAGGCACGTGAATCTTATCTTTGTCTGGACTGACCATGGGCCCCATGCGGGGAGGGACATGTGGGCGTCCTGGCCCTTTGGCTTGTTTTCCCCGGCTCTGCCTCTGAGTAGGTATTGGACTCTGTCGCCCCCTCACTGGCACAGCCTTCTCCTCTGGACACTGGTCATTTTTGACCTCACTGGGCGCCTCTGACTGGAGACCCGTAGGGGTCAGAATGGTTCTGCCATGTCTGGTGTCCCCGAGGTACCCCAGCCAAGCTGCCCTTCGGGGACAAGTGGGATGATGCTGGCTTCAGTGTCTGTGCTTTGTAGTGGATGGAGCTGTGTGGTGTGGTGACCCAGCCAGAGGGGAGGCAAGCCCGCAGGTGGGGCTGGTGCAGGGGAAGCCTGCCAGGGGGGACTGTGGACAGGAGACCCCGGGGTGGAGCTGCCAAGGGGCCAGCCTGAGCCACTGCTGCAGGAAGCTTCGTGGGAGTTGTGGCTCCTCTCCTGGGCAGTTCTGAGAGACGTGGTGGCAATCACTGCTGCTGCTTCCGGGAAAGTCGTGGCTGCTGGAGGGTTTCTTCGGATGGGACCATGTGTGGAACAGGCTGCGTGAGGCTCCGTGTCTCCTTTTAGAATCAGAAGGAGGACAGCCGGTTCTGAGGTTGGGAGCTCAACGTCGAGGGGGAGAGGGTAGGAAGCAGCGAGGAGAGAGAGAGAGATTTGTAGGCTTCAGCACTGCAGGTTTCTAGGTATAAGTAGTGTGACTTGTCTATTTCCAGGGCAAGGTGTGAGATGTCCCATGATAACCAGGCTAGTCCAAAGCTTCCAGGCCGAGGTGGTGGAGGACAGCATGCCTTGTCACGTCTCCTGCCTGCAGCCCCAGTGAATGATAGTGAGGGGGTGACTAAACGTCACAGACTCACAGAGATAAAGTGAATGGAAGGGGGTCCTTCAGAGGATGGGAGATTTCAACACACATGGGAAGGAGGGAGTGGAGGGTGGTCTCAGGTGGAGGAACCTCATGTGGACACTGCAGAGGTCCAGAACCGAGGAGGGGCTGTCAGCCCCGTGGGATGCCCAGGACTCAGGGTTTCCAGGTGGAGAACTCTGTGGCCCTGAAACAGGGGGGCCAAGTGGAAGTGCACCCCTGATTCCCCCTCCTTGGAATTCCTGGCATTAACACTGCTCTGCCTCCAGATGCAAATTCAACCAACCGACCCACCAACCAAGGGTCCTGCTCTGAAGAAACGGAATGAGTTATTTTGGGAGGCCTGAAGTTGGCAGGGCCTCTGCTGGGTACCCCGGAGCCAAGTCCTCACCAGGTGACATTTACTACCCCCTCCCCAGGACCCTGTTCCTGAGGTCCTGAGGGGGTGTTTGCCCCAGTGTGATCACCCAGTGTGATGTCTGCCAGCCCCTTCCCCACGTAGTGTCGGTTGCCCTGCTCCAATGAACAAACCCACAGCCAGGAATTTAAGGAAAGCTGGCGATGTGAAGGAGAAGAGCAAAGAAAAACACTCGGAAAAAATGCAGAAGGAAAGGGCGCTCGGAGATGGAGGTGGCAGCCGTGGAGGCGTGGCCCTCTGCCCCGCTCCCAGACAGCCTGCGTCCTGGGGACAGCTCTGGCTGTGGAGCCTTCAGGCCCTGCCCCGCCTTCACGCTGAGCTCTGTGTTTCACCAGCATCCCCAGCCAGTGCTGCGCAGTGGTGGTTCGGAGCTCACCATTTCTGGCCTGGGTGGGACACCTCTAAGGATGGTGGCTGCACCAGCGCCCCCTGATGGCTGGCTGGGGCGTCCTCAGGGCTGCGTGGCCATCTCTGGCTTCTCCTAACCCGCCCTCCTCCCTCCTCTCCTTTCGCAGGAGCCAGGCCTGCATCACCATCTGACAGCTGTCTTGCCTCCTCCTGTCCCTCCTCCCACTTTTTTTTTCACAGATGTGCTGTCCAATTAATCTCCTGCATGTCTGCCTTTGCTTCTGCTTTGCAGAGGACCCAAGAATTGGGACTAGACTGCTCACAACCCGGCTGGCAAGGGGGGCCCCATCCCAAGTGGTGTATGAGCTGTGGATAGTGCCTGGCACAAGGAGGTGTCCCAGATGCCAACAGTTTAATGGTGGTGACTTTGGAGAACGTCCCAGCGAAGGGATGCCCTGACTAGTGTGACGATCAGTCTGTTGGAAACAGGGAGGCAAGCATGCAAATGAGGACATAGGAAAGGCTGGTCATCACTGCATTTGTCCACCAGCGTGTCATTGGGACTCACCCACTGGCAGTGGTGTGGCCAGCACGCTGGACCCTTGGGGTGTGGAGAAAGAGCCATTGTAACGGAAGACCAAGCAGAGAACTAGGAAACACCCCTTCCCCCACTTCAGCCAAAAGGGTGAATCAAGAGGTGTCACGTTGCGGAAGGCGTGCGGGCTGGCCCGGCAGTGCTGCCCTTGAGGATTTAAGACTGCAGGGTTGGTGGTCCCACTCATATCTCTGTTTATAGGTCATGGAGCCGGGAGTACCCAGGGCGGTCCATCTTAACATGGAGATGGTACAGCTGGGATGGAGCCTGAGTGAGACCAGAGGGCACTGCTTACAGCTTCTGGGGGCTCCAGGTGTCCCTTCGTTTGTGGCCACATCACGTGGTCTCTGCCTCCTTTTCCTCCCCCTTCTCCCTGTGTCTTTCTCTCCAGCCTCTTATAAAAACATTGCCCCTTGCATTCAGGGCCCACCCAGGGAATCCAGGATCCTCTCATCTCAAAATCCTTAATTACATCTCCAAAGCTCTTTTCCCAAGTAGGGTCCTGTTCTGAGGTTCTGGGGGTTGAGACCTGGACACAACCTCTGGGGGCCACCATTCGAGCCAGTACCCTCCCTGAACTCCTGACACATCCTCCTTTCCGGCCTCAGTCCCTGTAGACTGAGTTCTCTGCCAGGTCTTACAGAGGAAGATGAGGGACACAGCCACCTTGTTGGATCTCCAGGGGTGGCTCTGCTCCTGTGACACTAAAAGGAGGGACAGTTCACTGTGTGAAGGAGGGGCATCTTTCAATTTCTGTTTGTTTAGCACATGGTTACATTCTGCGTGGCACAGAGTGGGTACAGTGGCGACCAGCTTCTCTTGGATGTATGTCTACAGCTCCCTTCGGGTGATGCTGGTGCCTGAATCCTTCTCCAGTCTTGCACACCCTCGGCTGGACCTTGACATTGACCTTGCTCCCTCCTGGGCTGGCCTTCCTCTGGGGTTGTCTGGTCATCGAGCCATGCCTTGATACCCACATGAGTGACTCCTTGAACTCTCAGACCCCAGTGATGAAACAGATTTATTGTCCTTCCAAGGTGAACGTTTCAACAGAGCAGAGCCTTCCTGCAGAGAAGGGGCTGGCACGACCATGCTAAGCAATGCAGAGTCAGAAGGGGTCATTTTAGGGAAGTAAGCACTCCTTAAATTATAGTACTATAAACACATGTGGACAATTAAAAGGAATGGCAGAAATAAAAGAGCAGAAACAGGATAAAGACTAGGCCAGGGGAGAGTGGACCAGGAACAGCGCGTGATTCCTCCGAAGTGCTGGCATTTTCTGTTTGGGGCTGTTGCCTAGTGAAATTCCACAACTGGGGTGTCATTCCTGCTGGATTCAGGCTTGTCCAGAAACCTCAGGAGACCAGCGGCTTCTACTATTTTCATATATGGGTCAATGGAAAACAGTTGGAAATCTGGTAGTTGGTTAAAACTTCACCAGCCAGGCCCTGTTTGAATAGACCCATTTATCCTTTCCTTGATGCTCAAATAAATTACCCCGAGAGGTGGTTAGAAAATTCATCAGAATTTTTTGGGGGCGTAGGAGGAGCAGAGGACTCAGAAATGTGGAGCTGGGTTGGGGGGGTCCTGGAAGAGCATCAGGCCACCTCCCTCCCCTGGCTGGTGAGGAGTGGAGGTAGGGTCTCCTCGCTGAGGGCTGCTGGCTGAACTGAGACCCGTGCTCAGGTCTCTGACCCCAGCTGTCCCCCTTCCGAGACAGACATCGTGACCAGAGGCCTGTAGCACGTGTCTTGTTTCAAAGAAAATTGTTCTGGCATTTAAAAATGCAGATGTCACACAGAGAGTGAGATCTCCAGCTTCTCTTGATGCCCTGGAAGTTCTGGCCGCTGGGGGCTGGCACTCCTGCGAGGCAGCGGGATGGTCCCCTTCGGCCCCTTGGTTCCCACCTCGCCTGACCACGTGGAGCCGCAGCACCCGGGTGCGGGAGAGCATTCCGGAGAGGGGTGGGGCCAGAGAGAGGGAGGCCAGCCTGCAGGAACCCCAGACTTGTCTCTGGGAGGTTTATACACACACAAACATCCATGCACACATGCACACAAACAAGCATGTACCCATGTGTGTGTTCATGTTTATGTATGTGTGTCTCTGTCTGTCTGTCTGTCTGTCTGTCTGTCTGTCATCTATCCGGCAGGTATTACTGGTATACCTGGAGCTGGCCTGGGAGCCTGGGCCCAGATGTGCACACCTTAGGGGTGAGAGGAGCACCTTACACCTCCAGCGTGCCAGACTGGAGCCCATGTGGAAGGAAGGACACGGGCAGTCCCCAGCAGCTGGGTCTCGGCCTG